GATGGTGGAACGGAGGGGGGGGTCGAGGGACAAACGGGAGCGGAGGCAGCGGGTGGCGGAGTGGGAGGGCGGGTTGGGTGGGGTGGGGGTGGGGGGTGAGAGGTGGGGGTGGGGGGGTGTCAGGGTGGGATCGGATCTGCCACTCTCCCAATGCATTGGACGCTTAACCTCTCGCTTTCCTTTGCCAGTACCTGAACATCAAACTGACCGACATCAGCGTCACGGACCCAGAGAAGTATCCTCACATGGTGAGTGGCCGGACCCTCACTCACCGCCCTCTCACCGTCAAAGCCCTCCACGGCCTCGTTCCCCACACGCGCACACGCGCACACGCACACGCACACACGCCCGCAGCAGTACGTAGGAACCCGGTAAGTAGGGAAAGCCGATTGGCGGATCAGCTTTTCCCGGGGGTGGGGTGGGGGTGTGTGTGTGTGTGTGTGTGTGTGTGTGGGGAATAACCCCTCCAGAATAACTAATAATAATACTAATAATAATAACAACATCCACGGTGGACGACGCCGGGCGGCGATTGGCTCTGCCCCGCTTCGCCCGCGGGACGCGCGGTCGCCGCACGTCACCGCGTGTCCCGCGAAGCGCTTTCGAGCGCGTCTCGAAGACGCGATACGGCGCCGGGTCAAACGATTATCGTTACGAGGATTCTTATCATTGAGGCCCCCTCCGCCCAGCTCGGCCCCAGGCTCCGCGCCGCCGTTAAGCGCTCCGAGGCGCTACCCTGAGTGAAGGGGCGCGGTGTAAACGCTGCCGCCGCCGCTGCGGTTTTTTTTTTTGTTCCAGCTCTCGGTGAAGAACTGCTTCATCCGAGGCTCGGTGGTTCGCTACGTCCAGCTTCCGCGGACGAGGTCGACACGCAACTGCTCCAGGACGCCGCCAGGAAAGAGGCCATTCAGCAGAAGCAATGAGGGAGGGCGCTGGAGGGGGGGGGGGGGGGGGGGGGGGACGGGGAGAGAGAGAGACGGGGAGGGGAGGGAGGGAGGTAATGAGGGAAGGAGGTGAGACGCGGGAGGGAGACGGACGCGAGAGGGATCAGCGAGCACTCTGCGCTCGCTCGATGGTATCCGGGTTGGGCGGTAAGTTGAGGGTGTTCACCAAGTGCTGTTACCCCCATTTTTTCCCCCTCGACACGCGCGGACGCACCATCATAACGATAATTCGGGAGCACTTAATACCGCATTCAACTCATCAATTGTTATTGTTATGGTTGTTCAGGCGTTTAACTGTATTTAGACGTCCAGAGGATCCGTGCGTGTATGTGCGAGTGTGTGCGCGCGCGTGAGTGTGTGTGTGTGTGTGCGCGCGTGCGTATGCGAGTGTGCACGTGTGCGTGTGTGTGCGTGTGAGTGAGTGAGTGCGCACGTGAGTGTGTGTGTGCTTGCGTGTGTGAGGAATGCACGTGAGTACGCGCGCGCGCGTGAGTGAGTGCGCACGTGGGCGAGCGAGTGAGCGCGCACGTGAGCGTGTGCGCGTGCGCGTTTGCCCGCACCTGCGAGGAATGAGCAAGTACGTGCGCGCGCGCAGAGGGTGCGCTCGCTTGCGTGAGCGAACGAGTGTGCGCGTGTGAATGAGAGTGCGAGTGAGCGCGCGTGCAGGCGCGCGCGCGCTCGTGCGAGGAAGGAGCGGGCGCGCGGGCGGGAGCGCGCGGACGCCATCCTTTTTCGCGGCAGACGAGTGATCCGGTGGGGGACGGGGGACGGGGTGGGTGGGGGGTGTCGGAGCGGGTGGGGGTGGGGTGTGGGTGGGGGTTTCTTTCCGCAAGCGACAGCCTGGAGCATTATTTCCATTGGTATTTGCCCCAACAATTAGCGAATCCCACGCGCGTTGTTCTCTGCGTCTTAAGTCTTTTTTGCCTCCGTGTAAACTCGCTGCACCGGAGAAGAAGGCGGACGGGCGGACACGGAGGAGTGTGTGGGGGGTGGGGGGGGGGGGACACTCGAGGGAGGCTTTGCGCGTCGGGGGACGTCACGCGTGTGCGCGTGCGCGCGCGTCCGCGTGGCCGCGCTCCGTTCTTTTCGAGAGACGGTTGTTTTTCTTTCCTTCCGAGTTCGTTCGATTAAACGTTTGTTGAAGTAAAAAGGTGTCCCCGAGTCTCTCGTCGCGCGGTCAGGATGAGGTCCGGCCCCGAACCCCCGCCGACCACCGCAACGACAGGTCCCTGCGGCGCCCGGTCTACGCCTTCGAGACGTCTCGGAGGGCTTCTGCGAAGGCTTGCGCGTGCGTTCCGGGCCGGACGGGGCGGCCGATTGCGCTCAGCGACGTCCCCGCAACCGGTCGCGTACCGGACTCCACTCAGAGAGATAGCGTACGACGACGACCACGACGATGAGATTACGTTTGTACAGCGCCTTTCACGTCGGGAGGACGTCCCGAGGCGCCGGACAGCGTACAGCAAATAGACAGCGTACGTAACGGATTGGCCGCCACCTGTTAAGTACAATCATTTCGGTCGCGTCAACCCACGGCTGTTTTGTCGGGGACGTCGCCGGGCGCGATCGGCTGCCGGGTCTCGCCCCCAGAATGCACAGTCACTGCGCTTCGCGGTGAAGCGCTTTTGAGACGGCGCGAAGACGTGTGATCAGGTCAAAACACGAGTGTGTATTAAATATAGATTTATGTGCATCTCTACAGAGATATACTCTTATTATATGTTTGTGTGTACCTCAGACAGACAGTGAGACCAAACAGTCGTGATAACCGCCCCTATTATCCGAGGAAACGTCGTAGTTTCTGGAAGACTTATTGCGACGGTATCACAACTCTTCGGTCACCGCGTATTTAATAATAATAATAATAATAATCCTTGCATTTGATATAGCGCTTTTCACGTCGGGAGAGGACGTCCCAAAGCGCTTCACAGAACACACTGTAAAGTGAATTGACTGTATATTTGTGGGCGAACGCGGCGGCCAATTGCGCACAGCAATGTCCCACAAACAGTCGTGGATTGAAAATGACCAATTTATTATTGTGTTTGGTTTTGGAGGATTATTATTAGGCTCTGTGTGGAGTAAGGAAACTTGCCCGAGGTTTCGCCCTCTGCCTGGAATTGAACTCAGGTCTCTCACTTGCAAAGCGAGTGCTCTAACCACTGAGCCACAGGACTCCTGTGGTGCGGATAGAACGTACCGTCTCCTGGATGGAGACACGACGCAGACTCGGGTGCCTCACCGTTCCTTTCGAGGCGTAAATAATAATAATTCAGTCCCTGGACCCGCGGCTGTTTGCGGAGACGCCGCCGCAGTGCGCGCGACCGATCGGCTGCCGCCCGCGTCCCGCCCACGAAACAAGTCACCGCGTCCGGCTCCGCTCCCGCTCCGGTGGTGCCGGACGCGGGGCTCGGGGCGGTGGGACTTTCTGAACCGAGAGAAACCCTGTGCAAGAAAAAAAAATATGATGACTACAATTTAACGTACTTTGCCGTCGTCGTTCGGCAGCAAAAATAAAACTCGGTGGATATTTTTTTTCCCCCCTCTTCGCCGGGGCGGGGAAGGGGGGGGGGGTGGGGGGGAGAGAAGAAACGGAAATGGGGGAAGGGAGAGGGGGGGAAAAAAAAAAGGGAGGAAGGGAAGAAAAAAAATTATCGACGAGCGAGAAAAAAAAATCGATGATAAATAGGAATAAATAAAGTTAAATTTATTTTGAAGGGTTTTTTGTTTTGTTTTGGTCGAGTTTCGCTGCTGGAAGTGAGGAGGCGATCGGTTGACTGAGAAAGAGGGGGAGACAGAGAGAGAGAGGGGATGGAGGGAGGGAAAGGGATGAAGGTGGAGAAAGAAGGGGCGCGGGGGGGGGGTCCTCCCTCCTCTTCCTTTACCCCACCCCCCGGCCCTCATTTGCAGCTGGTGTACTTGGTCACGGCCTTGGTGCCCTCGGACACGGCGTGCTTGGCGAGCTCCCCCGGCAGCAGCAGCCGGACCGCCGTCTGGATCTCCCGCGACGAGATGGTCTGCCGCTTGCTGTACTGGATCAGGTAGTAGGCCTCGCAGGCGATGCGCTCGAAGACGTCGTTGACGAACGAGTTCATGACGCTCATGGCCGACGACGAGATGCCCGTGTTCGGGTGCACCTGCTTCAGCACCTTGTACACGTACGAGGTGTAGCTCTGCGTCCTGCGCTTGCGGCGGCGCCGCCTCCCCCCGGCCCCGGCCCCCGCCACGCTGCCACCGCCGCCGCTGCTGCTGCTACTGCCCTTCCTGGTCACTTTGGCGGCGGCGGCGGCGGCGACTTTCTTGGCGATCCTCTTCTTGGCCGCCGTGCCTTTGCCGCCGCCGCAAGCGGGCATGGTGCGCGGGGTCGTGCCGCCGCCTCTCCTCCTCCTCCTACTCCACACCACCACCACCCGCTGCCGCTTCCTCCGCCTTCTCGCTACCGTTACCGTCTACTACTACTCCTCCGTCGCCGTCAGCCGCTTCCGGACACTGGACGCGTGGCCACTCGGGCGTCGCGCTTTTATAGCCGTGTGGGGGTGTGGTGGAGGGGGTGGGGCCGGAAGTGAGGTGGGTGGGAAAGCCGGCGCCGCTCCCATTGGTCCGCTCGTTCCCTCCGTCGGGCGCCGCGGCCAATCAAAACGAGAGGGCGGAGCTGATGGCAGGCGAGGGCTCGGCTCGCGCGGGAGCGATGGCGGCGGAAGGAGGCGACTGGCGGTGGGTGTTAAAACGCTCTGCCAACGGCGTTGGCCGAATGGGCGGGCGGTGGTTTCTCGCGCGTGGCGCTGGGTGGGGTGGGGGTCGAAACGACTTCGGGTGTTGGGTGCCGTACACCGCGCGCGAGATACGCGCCCGACAACCTGCACCGCGTCCCGAGAGAGGTCCGCCCGTCGACCTGTGCAACGCCTCTCGCTGCGTCGGTCTGGGAGGACGGGATTAAGGCGCCGAAACAAAACGCCGAGGATTATTCTGGTCGCCGACGCACATCGACGGTCAACGCGTGTCGCTCAGCTCCTTCCTCGGGACGTGTTTAAAGCGGCTCTTAAAAGAGCCTTTGGTCTATGTTTGTGGACGGAGGGAGAGAGAAGAAACGAGAGGACACTTTCGTCCCCGCGCGGGAGGGGAGGACACCTCACTTGGCGCTCGTGTACTTGGTGACGGCCTTCGTGCCCTCGGAGACGGCGTGTTTGGCCAACTCCCCGGGCAGCAGCAGGCGGACGGCGCTCTGGATCTCCCGGGAGGAGATGGTCTGGCGGCGGCTGTAGTGGATCAGGCGGGAGGACTCGATGCCGATGCGCTCGAAGATGTCGTTGACGAAGGAGTTCATGATGCTCATGGCCCGGGAGGAGATGCCGGTGTCCGGGTGGACCTGCTTCAGCACCTTGTAGATGTAGATGTTGTAGCTCTGCCTCCGGGCCTTCCTGCGCTTCTTGTCGCCCTTCTTGCCGAGTCGGGACACCGTCTTCTTGGAGCCTTTGGTGGCCGACGAGCGCTTCCCCACGATCTCGGGCATAGCCGCAGCCGTTCACCTGCCGAGGAACACAGAGAGAGAGAGAGAGAGAGAGACAGAGACGGACCGAACCCACGCGGCGATATGAAGCGGAGAGCGAAGCGCTTTGACCTGATATAGCCTTCCATATGCAAATGAGGGATTGAAACTCCGGGCGTTCCCTATTGGCTGTTCGATCCCGACTCCTCCCCCCCACCCGCCCACCTCCTCACTTCACACCCGAACCCCCACCCACCCCCCACTCCTCACTTCACACCCCATCTACCCTCTCCACCTCCTCACTTCACCCTCCACCCCTCCCTCTTCCCCCTCTCCACCTCCTCATTTCACCCTCCACACACCCACCTCACTTCACACCCGCCCCCCCCCCCACCTCCTCACCACACCCGACCTCCCACCCACCCCCACCCTCCTCACTTCACCGCCCCCACCTCACTTGATACCCCACACCTCATGATTTTAATGATGATGTTTCATGGCAATATTTTCGGGTCATAATATATCTACAGTCCTGATATTTTGTACCTGTATAAAATTCACACTTTCTTTTATGGACCGTTTATCCGTCAGTTCAATGTTTATAGTTTGTGAAACGTTTGTAAGTATTGTGTGTGCATCAAATATGGATATAAATGCCATATAACAGTGTAATATAATAATAATAATAATAATCCTCACATTCGACATAACGCCTTATCACGTCGTCGAGACGTCTCAAAGCGCTTCACGGGACGCGCTGGGAAGTGTAGTGACTGTGTGTTTTGCGGGGCGAAATCTATAAATTAGACTCATTTATTATCCTGAATATATACACACGGCCCAAACCTCTTTCAATTGAAGTTTTAAGTGGCTCTGAAAAGAGCCGTTGCAGTTTGGGGGTGTGGGGGGGGGGTGTGGGGGGTGTGGGGGAAAGGAAGCAAATATTTTTTTTCCCAATCACTTTTCTTCCTTCAAAACCTCGACAGTCGACATTTTATTTTCGTGTAAAATCTGTGGTGGAAAGTATTAAATGTTTTGATTTTTCTTTGAGGGGTGTGTGTGTGTGTGTGTGTGTGTGGTGGGGGTCCCGTTTTGTTGTCAAATGTTGATCGATTGATTTAATGTATATTTATTTTTTTTTAAATTCTCTCCATGTGTTTTTTTTCCCGCCTCTTTTTTTTTCCTTCTTCTCCCCTTCCATCACGAAGCCACGTGTGGAGTTTGGCCGCCGACACCTCCTCCTCCTCCTCCTCTCTCGGGCTGTTCACCTCCACCTCCTCCTCCTCGTTGCTCGTCGCCTCGAACAGCGGCCGCGTCACAAGTCGCCGCCGCCATCGTCCCCACCACCACAGCAGCTCCAGCCTCCACCACCATCTTCTTCTTCAGCTGCTCCTCCTCCTTCTTCCTCCTCCTCCTCCTCCCGCCGCCGCCGCCGCCCTCCGCCCTTCTCGGCAGCTGCTGTTTCCTGGCGGCGGGTTTGGCCGCTCTGTACCTTCCCGGCGCCTTCCCCCCGCCCCCGCCCCCGCCGCCGCTCCTCCTCCCCTCCCCCTCCCGCTCGCATGACCCTCCGGGCCGTGGCCGCCGCCTGCTTCATCTTCGCCCCTTTCTTGGGCTTCTTCGCCGAGGCGAGAGCGGGTCTCCTCCTCCTGCTGTGGGGGGGAGGCGGCTGGTGTGGAGCCCCCGACCCCGGGGTGCGCGGCCGCCTCTTGCCCCGCGGCGCGCTGCCCGCCACCCTGAAGGAGCCGGCGGCCCCGGTGCCGGTGGTGCGCACCAGGGAGCCCTTGGTCACCAGCGCCTTGACGGCCACGTTGACCCGCGCGTTGTTTCGCTCCACGTCGTAGCCGTTGGCCGACAGCGCCTTCTTCAGCGCGGCCAGAGACAGCCCGCGGCGCTCCTTGGTGGCCGCCACCGCCGCCAGGATCTGGGCGGCCATCGTGGGGGCGGCCCCCGGGGGCTTGGGTTTGCGGCCGAGGCGGCCACCGGCCTTGTGCGACGTCGGCTTGAGCCTCTGGCGAGGAGCCGTGTCTTTGCCGGGCGGGAGGTCGGCCATGAGTGGGTGTGAGAGAGAGAGAAGGTGTGAGAGAGACAGAGACGGCGGTGTCGGTAGAGACGGCAGAGAGAGAAGAGATCACAGACAGACACAGAGACCTCCGGCAACTCCGCGACCCTCGTCCGACTGAACCGCGCGCCGTCCGCTCCCGCTCTGGTTAAAGGTGCGAAGCGGACGCGGCAGAGACGCTTCGAGCTCCCGCCCCTCCCCCCCTCCCCCACGTGTACACACACTCACATACATACATAATCTGCACACACCAATATATATATATACACACATATACATACACATATACACACACGCGCACACATTTGCACATACACACGCACACATACACACGCACACACAATGCGCTTTACAAGATACACCGTCGAGCGTAATGACTGTTTTTTGTGGGAGAAAACTATAAACGTGTATGTGTGTGTGTGTATATATATACCTATAAAACGTGAATTTATAAAGCGCCTTTCACGCGGGGTAGTGTTTCCGAGCGCTGAAATATACACACGCAAACACATGTAACACTTATATTTGTGCACACATGTGAAGACATACACCTTTCCGCACACGCGCATTGCTGGATACCCATATGTCTGCACCAGCAGCACATTGGACATATTAAGTTGGGGATAGTCTTATTTTAATTAAAATGAACCGTGACAAAGTAGTCATTGGTAACACTTGCATTTAGAATAGCCTTAAGATGATTTGATTCGGCGCTTTTCACTGTCGTGGCCCTTCAATGTGCTTCAAACAAACTGAAAGGTCATTTAAATAGTGCATCAGGTGAGACTGTCGGCAGCCCATGATTTGTGATTGAATTGGTGGCTCTTAAAAGAGCCTTTGGNTTTTTGTTTATGTCTTTAATCCGATTATCAAACGGATTCGCCGTGAAAACCTTCCCATTCCCTCAACCCCTCAAGCCCCGAACCCGTACAGGGTGCGGCCCTGGCGCTTCAGAGCATAAACCACGTCCATAGCGGTGACCGTCTTGCGCTTGGCGTGTTCGGTGTAAGTCACCGAGTCCCTGATCACGTTCTCCAGGAAGACCTTCAACACCCCGCGGGTCTCCTCGTAGATCAGACCCGAGATGCGCTTGACGCCGCCGCGGCGGGCGAGGCGGCGGATGGCGGGCTTGGTGATGCCCTGGATATTGTCTCTGAGCACTTTGCGGTGTCTCTTGGCGCCGCCTTTGCCCAACCCTTTACCGCCTTTCCCTCGGCCAGTCATGATGCAACCGACTGCGGAGCTCAAGAACCAAAGTGTGAGTCACTCCACCCGCAGTGTTCCCCTTTTATATGTACTTCACGGACCTGGGTGAGGACACGAGTGAGGGAGCGGGAACGATGGGGGAAGGGGAGGGGTTGGGGGGAGTGACAGGTTCTCCCAATTTTCAAACCCCTCCGCGCTCGACATGGAAAAGGACATCAATGAATGAGAAAATCGACCGGAATTAATGCGAAATGAATTAAAATCTCCTGCTAATAACCCCCCCCCCATTAGGAATTAAAATTATCATGCGGCGGTGGTCGTATTTAATATATTTAAAACAATTGCAGGCTCCGTCTGTGTCCATTTACCCAATCGGTGAATTCCTTTCCTTGAAATATTTATATATTATTATATGACATTTGTTCCCATTGATACTATCTTTGCATATCTATTGAAACGATACTGATGAAATACAAGTATATAATTGAAATTCAGATGTGTATATATATTTCAATGATACACTTATATTTGATAAGTATCGTTTCAATGAATACGTAATGATAGTATCAATGGACGACATTGCACCCGATTTTAATAATAATCCTTGCATTTGATATATTTGAGACGTCTCAAAGCGCTCCGTAGAATATATTGTAAAGCGAATTGACGGTATATCAGATTTATTCCATTCACGGAGCGTGGAAAAGGCAAATCGTTGACAAATTGTTGGCAGCACTCATTTTCAAGCCTCTTTAAAGTATATTTACTCATGTATATATATATATACATCGATTAAATTCTATTATTTGCTGAATTCTAAATAGAGTGAAACTATGTCCAGATGCAATTTCTCCCCCAATAAGTTCGTTGACGATGGTTGAAAACATATACTCCATATATTATTATTATTATATATTCATGAATTAAATAAAACGTGGTTGGTTAAAATACGGGCAGTAACAACGCTCACTTCTCGACGATTACTATCAACTCTCAGTTAATAATTTTGGAGAATTATTAACAATAATCCTGACATTTGACATCACGTCGTCGAGACGTCTCAACAAAGGGGTTTTCTTTTTTTTAAAAAAAATCAGAATTGCTGCGACGCTCTTCGAAACGCGAAAGTCGTTCGTCTCGGACGCAGTTGGTTATGAAGTGCATTTGTCACGTCTTCAAAGACGTCTCAAATTCACCGTTGAATAAAAACACTTCCCCCTTTCCCTCTCTACGCCTTGTTTGACAGTAGACCCATCGAGGGATTGAAAAGCGCGCGATTTTCACCGTTTAAACGGCGGGTTATTTACTTTCTTTCCGAGCGATGAAGTCGGTGGCTCTTAAAAGAGCCGTTGTGTGTATGTGTTTTTTTTTGGTTTCTTTTTCCTTCGAAGTAAACTCGGGATATTCGGTTAAGTTGATCGATTTCGAGTTGGATTTTTTTCCTTTCTCCCCCTTTAAACCTCAGCACATTTGTCCGGTTTTTTCCTCCGGGCGACCGCCGCCTTCGCCGTGTTGCTGAGGCTGGTTTCTCGCCGCGTCTTCCTCGGTTGGTCTGACCTCCGCCCCCGCCGCCGCCTTCTTCCCCCGCGCCCTGGGGATCTGCTTCTTCCCCGCCTTCCTGGGTCTCCCCACCGGCCTCTTGCTCCTCCCCACCGGCCTCTTACGCGACACTCCGCCGGCGCCGCCTCTTCCTCCTCTGGGTCTGACCGCCGGCCTCTTCCTCCGGTCGCCTCTGCTCTGCGGCGCCAACGGTCGCTTGAGCCGCCTCTGATTAACGGCCGCCGCCGCCGTCCTCCTCTTCCCTCCGGGCTTCGCCTGCAGGTCCTTACTGACCCGGAACGATCCCAAGGCGCCGGTGCCCGTGACCTGCTGCAGCGACCCTTTGGTCACCAGGGACTTGACCGACTGGTTGACCCGCGTGTTGTTCCTCTGCACGTCGTAACCGGCTTTGGACAGCGCCTTCTTCAAGGCCACCAGCGAGATGCCGCGCCGCACGTGCGTGCCCGAGGCCGACACGGCCGCCATGATCAGGTCGCCCACCGTGGGGGCGGCGTTGTTGCGGCGCTGGGGAGGAGCCGCGACCTTCGTCCGTTTACCCATCGCACGGCCGCAGAAGACGCCGATGCCGCCAAGTCCGTCGAGCCGGCTCCTTTTCCTCGCCTCACGACGCCGCAAGAAACTGCCTCGGTCCGCCACTCCCTTCCACCACAAGACACGACCGTCTCCACCGACGCGGCGCTAAACTGAAGCGCTAAGCGCTCGCCCGCCGCTATTTAAGCACTCAAGGAGGACGTCGTAGAGTCGATCGCTTCCACACTCCTCCCTCCTCCCTCCTCCGCCGATCCAGGCTCCTCCCCTCCCCGTACAATCACGTGCTACAGCAAAATATATCTACAATAATATTAATACTCCTTGCATTTGATATAGCGCCTTATCACGTCGTCCAGACGTCTCAAAGAGCTTGACAGGATACACTGGTAATACCATTTAAGTATTAGTTTTTTTCCCGGGGGATAATAATCCCTTCGAAAAAATATTATAAATCATAACAATTTGGTCACTTAATGAATTTGTCTGTCTCCATTACAGTAACTGGCAAGTAAGTCAGTGTCATCAATGCAATGCTGATGAGCTTTGAGGATTTGCAGAAGAGGGACAATACGTTTTGTAGAAAAGTTGAGATCCATTTATTGGTTGACGAAGAGGACTTCGAGGGCTCATCACTTTATAATAATAATCATTGCTCTAAGACAGTTTGGGCACATTAAATACAATGGTGGAAATAGGATTAGACAGTTCTTTTAGGGACGTTGACCCTGGTGTAGAGATGATGGGGGCAAAAGTGGCTCTGTGCTACTTAAGAGCAAGGCCTTGCCAATGTCCCTTCTCTGGGAGTCCTGCAAGTGCACCACAGCTCAACCGTTGCAAGTTTGGTTGCGTGTTTCCCTGCGTAACAAAGGCTTTGTGTGTGAGTCGCTGAGCTGACGTTTCAAATGCAAGTCAACCAACCGGTTTTATTAAACTTGTCAAAACGTTTCAACCCCCCCCCTCCCCCCCCACCCGGCAATTCTAATAAGACAAATTACAGATTTCAAAAGGTCGGATCCGGTTTAAAATGCGCTAAAACACAACATCGCAGGGTTTTAATTAACAGCGATCCAACTTTTATTCAATCTTAAAAAAGACAAATGTATCGGGTGCAAATAAAAAAAAAAGCGTGTGGGGGATTAATTGGGATATTGGGCGATTATACTTTCCCTTTGGTTCGTAGCGTTTATAACTCTTGGCAACTCCCTCTCATCTTCTTTCTTCCTCGGTGCGTGTCTTTGTGTGTTAAGGGGGGGGGGGGGGCGGTGGGGGTGTGTGGGGGAAGAGAGAAAGTCTGTACGTGTTCGTTTAAAGAGAGGGTTTGGAGGTCTGGAGGATGATTTAGTTTCTACCAAACGTGTGTTTAGTCCCGACCTGGCGCTTGGCGCTTTTCATCTTCATCAACCTCCACTTTCTCAGGGCCCGGGTCACCGCCTTCTTCGGCCGACCCACCTTGCCTTTGGCCCGGCGCCTGAACAGCTTCTTGACGCCGCGTTTCCGCTGCGATAGCAACTTCTTGGCCGCCTCGCGCTTCTTGGTCACCTTTTTCTCCTCTCCGGTCGGCTTCAAGAGCAGCTGCTGCTGCTCCTGCTGTTGTTTGAGCGGCTGCTCTCTCTCCCCGGTTTCCCCTACGGGGACTTCACCGGCTTCGTGCGAGTTGGCCAAGCGGAACGAGCCCGAGGCGCCGATGCCCGTGGTCTGCACCAGCGAGCCTTTGCTGACCAAACTCTTCACCGTCTGGTTAACGCGCGAATTGTTCCTGGTCACGTCGTAACCGTTGGCCGACAGCATCTTCTTCATGGCGGCCACCGACAGCCCGCGGCGCTCCTTGGTGGCCGCCACCGCCCGCATGATCTGGTCGGCCACCGTGCTGCCGTACCGATTGCGGCGGTTGCGCCGCCTTCTCTTCTTGCTGACGGGCGTCGGGTGTGCGGCGGCCGCGGCGGTGAAATCAGCAGCGACGGCGGCTGGAGTGACGGGGGCTTTTTGCGGCGACGCCGGCGAGGGATCGGCGGCGGCAACAGCGGGAAGGGGCGCGGGATCTGCGGCGGGATGGTCGGCTCTGGTTGTGTGCGTCTCAGCCATGACTTGTCTAGTGCGCGAGTCGGCCTCTATCGCTCTTCGTCTTTTTATCTTCCTCTTCAGCTCCTCGTCTCCCACCGGCTCCGGGCGAAATGAGCGGCCGGCGGCGATGCGGTGCTACTTAAAGCAGCGAGGCGGACGTGGCAGAGACAACCTGGCCACCTCAGCCCCGCCCTCACACCTCCCCCCCCCCCCCCCCCTCTCCTGCGTCATCCAATCACTGTCTCCCGCTTCGGGAAAACCCGCGCGACGTCACGGCTTGGGAGTCTCACCCACTCACCCGCTCCCTCTCTAAACCAGCGCCGCTTCATTTCGACGCCCTCTACTCCTGCCCCCAACTCCCCGTTTTCCTCCCGATTTATCCCCTCTTGCAAAGACATTCACACACACGCACACGCATACACACGCACCACCCTGCACTTGCTTGCTGTCTGTCAATTGAGTCCAAGTTCACCACCCTAACTCCTCATAATTATGTTTCAATAAATGCATTTTCTTCATCGAGCAAGGCTATTTTGGGAAGGAACGTGATTCTATTCACGTCGATAACCCTTCACCGTGCAAAGCACGTTCGGATACAGATCAATACATCCTGCAGTGGAGTCCTGTAGCTCAGTGGTTAGCGCACTCGCCTCGCGAGCGAGAAACCCAGCAGGACGAAACCTTGGGCAAGTTTCCCTACTCCACATGCCTGATAATAATTCCTCAAGATAATAATAAATTGGTCTCTTCAAATCCACGGCTGTTTGTGGGACACCGCTGAGCGCAATTGGCTGCCGCGTTTCGTCCACACAACACACAGTCACTACACTTTACAGTGTATCCTGTGAAGCACTTTGCGACGACTCGAAGACGTGAGAAGCGCTATATCAAATGCAAGGATTATTATATTATTATAAATGCACTTATAATATGCTGAGGATATGAAAGGCGAACAAGCAAATTTCTTGAAATGCTCTTGAAAATAGCCTATTGTGAGGCAGAATTGAATTGTGTTTTTGCTGGCGTTTTGTACATGGGTCTTATCGCTTAGTTTCTTTGTACATAAGGATTGGCAAGAAATGGCAAACTTGGGCATGTGTTGACCGTGCCCATGGTATCAGTTGACTTAAGTCTTCACCGATCATTTAAATACGGTAAGAGCACAGGCTCCCTCAAATTCCCAACTTCCCATTTTATAGATTAGATTCCATCAAAAAGGAGAATAAAAGGTGTTTCAAAACCACGGACAGAAAAAAGGGAGATTTTTGGCACAGAAACTTATCTGAGGTTTGTTTGGCAAAGCAATGACACAATAATGATTTCAGGTGACTGGGCATATTGCTCCTGAACACAATCTGATGTAAAAATCCTTGAATAATAATTTGTAAGTCATGTAAAAACTGGTTAGTTTCAAACCATATTTGGTATTGGATATAGAATCCAAAACATATGCATGAGATAACAGGAAAAACCATAATATTGTTTTTCTAAAACAAGAAACCGATAATCTCGGAGAAATAGGAATAAGAAAACTCTAAAGTAAGAGTGATTAGAAATACTATATATGGTTGTAATGTTCAACTTGGGAGCACATTATATAAATAAGAATTTTAGAAATATTCAAATCCCAGACAATAATAACAATAATATTCCTTGCATTTGATATAGTGCTTTTCATGTCTTCTAGATGACTCAAAGCGCTTCACAAGATATACTGTGAAGTGAATTGACTGTATATTTGCTGGCGAAACATGGCATCCAATTGCACACAGCAGTGTCCCATAAACAGTCTTGGATTGAGGGATCAAATTTTTTTTTTTTTTAGGGATTATTATCCCCAGAAAAGCGATCCACTAATCGACTAACAACTGGGTTCCTAGTTACTGCTAGGTAAACAGAAACGTGTGGAGTATGGAAACTTGCCTAAGGTTTTGCCTCACCCAGGAATTGAGATTTCTCGCTTATGAGGCGAGTGTGCTAACCATTACACTACAGGACTCCAAATGTGCATGCCGCTTGTCCCAAAAACTTTCAACTGAGGTAAATTTCAGTGTTTTGAAGGCAGAAGGGCAGCGGTGTGAACTGTGGAATGAATCCCCACTGAAATAACCTCAGTTTAGCAGGCGGGAATAGGGCATCACACAGCAGAGGCTCTAAGAACCTGAGGTGAAAGTTGCTCAGGAAACTGAGTCAAGGGACAGATGCACACTGAGACAAAAGCTGCCAACAATCTTGAGACAAAACTCCTTTCGCTTCTGCGCATCACCAAATATATTTGAATCCACACAGATACATCTCCTTTTATAGCAGAAAAATTCAAATTCAAATTCCAAGGACATTTTATGCCCTAATGTCCTGCACACACTGTACAAGTGAATTCAGGATTGGTGGTGCTCTGGCAGACACTCTGATTTACCTGCCTTGGGATATGTTGTTAAGTGAATTGACTCTGTATGAGCAAAACACAGCAGCCAATTGCGCACAGCAGTGTCTCACATACAGTCGTGGAATTAATGCATTATTTTTTCTTATGGTCTAACCCATGAAAAAGTACACTCTAGAACTGGCTTCGGTGTTGAGCTGTGAGTGTCAGACTCAAAATAAGTGACAATTACATCACACACAAACCCTTAATAAGGGTGCGGCATTCTGATAAAACAGCTCTTTAATTGAAAATAATAATTTTAAAAAAGATTTTCCGACGTAAACTGAGGAGGTGAAGGTCAGCAAGAAGGCTTCGGTCGGAGGTGAAGGTGGAGCATAAAACACCCAGATAAACAGGTGGTTACACAGGTGGATGGAATGTCTGAGAAAAGCTGCAGTATTCCAGTTACTTTAAGAGTTGAGAAAGGGAGTGAGTATTTGGTAAATCTCACAGCAATCATTGCCCCTCATTCACTCTGCCATCCCCATCCGTTTAGGTACAACAATGTCCCATCTATCTGCTGACTCCATAAACCCAGTCAGTCAGGCAGTTTTTCCTTGAAAGCAGGTCAGTGCAGTAACTGTACAGAACCAGGGCTCAAACCCATGGAAACATATGTAGCCCTTCGAGCCTGTTCCGGCATTCTGTAAGATCATGGAGGAACCCTGAACTTTGTTGGCAATAAGAATTCCGATCTTTTTAACAGCAAGCTGCTTCTCAAAATCACATCTTTATTATTATTACCCTTGAATCCCTCAGCTCGGGTCCGTAACTCGGTTTGTCCAGCACCTCGGGACGTCGTCTCAACATGAAAGGCGCTATACAAATATAATTTTGTTGTTGTTGTTGAACGTACGTGTTACAGATTGTCAAACGTGATCAATTGGAACACCGAATAATTTTTTTGCAGTTATCAAAAAAACGCACATCGCTCACTAAACGATTGTTGTTTAAAAAAATGCAAATGCAAGGATTATTGTGATCAAACTATTGTTGGGTATTCGGGTGGTTCTTTTGACGCCTTTGTTTTTTTGGCGGGATTTTCTGGCGGTATGCAAATGAGAGATCGAAAGATGACCAGTTTCTATTGGTTCGCCCGTCGGGCGTCCGACAACGGCGGCGCTTCCCCATTGGCCCTTGGCTCGCGGGTGAGGGGGAAAGGAACCAATCGGAAGCAGCTGCTCGGCCCGCCGGCCCGCTATAAAAGGGCGACACACGCGGCTCCGAGCGTCAGTAACTGTCGAGGAGCGAGAATGTCTGGACGAGGGAAAACTGGAGGCAAGAGTCGAGCCAAAGCGAAGACCCGCTCCTCCAGAGCTGGGTTGCAGTTTCCAGTCGGACGCATTCATCGTTTGTTGCGGAAGGGTCACTATGCGGAGCGGGTGGGCGCCGGTGCGCCGGTCTATTTGGCCGCCGTGCTCGAATACCTGACGGCCGAGCTGTTGGAGTTGGCGGGCAACGCGGCCCGCGATAACAAGAAGACCAGGATCATCCCTCGACATCTGCAGCTCGCCGTCCGCAACGACGAGGAACTGAATAAACTACTGGGAGGCGTCACTATCGCCCAGGGCGGGGTCCTGCCGAACATCCAGGCGGTTCTGCTGCCCAAGAAGACGGGGCAGCCGAGCAAGGTCTACGCTTGAACATGTAAAGACTAAGCGAACGAACAAACTACTTGAACCCAAAGGCTCTTTTAAGAGCCGCAAAAATCGTCTTCACATAGACTGAACCGAAAGCTTTTTTTTACCCTTTGTGTTGTACAGGAGTGGGGGTGGGGGGGGTTCCATTTGATACCTGGTTGGTAGGGGGTGGGGGATGAGAGGGACTTAATCTGGTTATAGTATAAAAGGTATAACGTTGAGATGCACGGACAAGACTGGAGAACTTCAGTAAATGTATCTTCTTAAATGGCCCAGAAATTAAAGCTAAATAAAAGATTGATGAGTTATTTTCGGGAGTGATTCGAATCGATTAACCCGACACAAACCGGGCACACGCGCAGCAAAACGGATCAGAATCTTCGCATTTCACGCAGCGCCTCTTATTTTGTACCGTTTCGAACGCCTCGGAAAAAGCGCGTCGCGGCCAAATCCTCGCGGGCTTTTGTGAGAAGGAAACGGTTTGGTTTTCATGCCGTCGACTGGGTCGGAACGCCCCGCCCCTCGTCACCGCCGCCCCGCCCACACGCACATTTTAGCGCCTTTTGGGGACAAAAGGCACGTGGGTCGGATTGAAGGACCGCTCCAATCAGCGATCTCCAATTTCAGCCAATGGGAGAGCGCCCTTCTCTGGCGCCGACCGTATATAAGTCGATGTTGCGGCGGCTGCCGGTTCAGTGCGGGGCGACGCGGAACAGCGCGAAGGAAGACTTAGAGAAGGAAGAAGATGGCGAGGACCAAGCAGACGGCTCGCAAGTCGACTGGCGGCAAAGCGCCTCGCAAACAACTGGCCACCAAGGCGGCTCGTAAGTCGGCCCCGGCCACGGGAGGTGTGAAGAAGCCGCACCGCTACCGCCCGGGCACGGTGGCGCTGAGGGAGATCCGCCGCTACCAGAAGTCCACCGAGCTGCTGATCCGCAAGCTGCCCTTCCAGAGGCTGGTGCGGGAGATCGCCCAGGACTTCAAGACCGACCTGCGCTTCCAGAGCTCGGCCGTCATGGCGCTGCAGGAGGCCAGCGAGGCATACCTGGTCGGCCTGTTCGAAGACACCAACCTGTGCGCCATCCACGCCAAGCGGGTCACCATCATGCCCAAGGACATCCACCTGGCCAGGCGCATCCGAGGGGAGCGGACTTGAGAGATAGAGAGAGAGAAGAGGAAGAGAGAGAGAGAGACCAACTGATAGTCTCGTAAAAGGAACAACAACAAAAAGGCTCTTTTAAGAGCCGCTTAAAATACTTCAAAAGGAGCTGCAACTGTTTTTTAAAAAATAGCTTCAAAATGAATTTCAGCTTTAAAATCGGAAAGATTTTATGTTCCCTTTTAAAAAAAACGTGAATATTAAAAGGACAACCGGAAGACATTAGGTCCAACTCTACCCCCCCCCCCCCACCTCTTTTCCCCGCTCGTGGACATTTTTTGTGGTGGTTGGGGGTCAAGACACCCGCGGAATCCCCGTCACCGTTGCTGAAGAGTCCCAAACCCAACTGAGGATTCCTGACCCACACACCTGGAAGCCTAGTGTGTACGCGTTAGGTGTGGGGGAGTGGGGTGGGGTGGAGGGGGGGGAGTCTGGAGTCTAACCAGCTCAAACCACGCATAGTTTTGCCCATCGAGAGAGAGAGAGCGCTGTCTGGCCAAGGTTTCCCGCTTCTTGTCCAGTCAGGACCCATTGGGACATTTTTAGCGCCTTTTTTTTTGAGGCAAAAAGCACGTGGGTTGAATCGAAGGACCGCTCCAATCAGCGATCTCCAATTCCAGCCAATGGGAGAGCGCCCTTCGCGGGCGTCGACCGTATATAAGTCGGGGTCGCGGGGGGGGGGGCTCCGGGCTCAGTGCGCGGTATCGCGGAGCGGCGAGGAGTAGGGAAGGGCGAGTGAATAGGAGAAGGAGGACAGAGGCAGGAGATGGCGAGGACCAAGCAGACGGCTCGCAAGTCCACGGGCGGCAAAGCCCCCCGCAAACAGCTGGCCACCAAGGCGGCCCGCAAGAGCGTCCCGGCCACGGGCGGCGTGAAGAAGCCGCACCGCTACCGCCCGGGCACGGTGGCGCTGAGGGAGATCCGCCGCTACCAGAAGTCCACCGAGCTGCTGATCCGCAAGCTGCCCTTCCAGAGGCTGGTGCGGGAGATCGCCCAGGACTTCAAGACCGACCTGCGCTTCCAGAGCTCGGCCGTCATGGCGCTGCAGGAGGCCAGCGAGGCATACCTGGTCGGCCTGTTCGAGGACACCAACCTGTGCGCCATCCACGCCAAGCGGGTCACCATCATGCCCAAGGACATCCACCTGGCCAGGCGCATCCGAGGGGAGCGGACTTGAGAGAGAGAGAGAGAGAGAAGAGGAAGAGAGAGAGAGAGAGACCGACTGATAGTCTCCTAAAAGGAACAACAACAAAAAAGGCTCTTTTAAGAGCCGCTTTAAAACGCCTTCAAAAAGCTGCGACTTTTTTTTCAAGAGCGATTTTTTTCGAGGACTTCTTTTTTTTCGCCCTCAAGAACCGTCGTCTTGAATCGGTTTCGAAGTATTTGAAAGTGCGATAATAAGTAACAAAGTGTTAATCGTCCCATTCGATGCGACCCTTTTTTTTTTGGTCAATCGTGATGGCGACGATGATGATGACAATCCCGGAGTCGGTCACGGCGCCGGATCGCGCCTTCGAGGCACACGAACTGACGCGTGTATTTTGCGGGAGAAACGCGGCAGCCGACGGCGCGCGGAGGCCGTCCCGTCCCGAGGTGGTGAAATTGAAGTGACTCAAGTTATTGTTTTCTTTTCTTGAGGGATCATTGTCCGGCGCGTGGAGGAAGGAAACTCGCCGGAGGTTTCTCTCGCTCGCTCGCAAAGCCAGCGCTGTCACCACCGAGCTCCGGGGCTAATCGGGTCGTCCCGAGTCGTCGGGAAAGCGCTTCACAGGATTAAGCGCTGGAACTGGATTGTCAAATTCTAGACTCCGAAGCTCTCCCGGGGGTGAAATATTCTTGCCGCGATTTGCGAGAGAGGGAGAGAGAGACCTGGGTTCTGTTTTGTTATTATTATTCTATTGCATCCCGATGGATAGCTTTTCCAAGAAGAATAATCCTTCAAAATAAAACAACAGTAATAACGCGGTCGCTCAATCCACCACTGTTTGCGAGGGACGCTACTGTGCGCGATTGGCTGCCGCGTTTCGCCCACAAGTATACAGTCACTACACTTGACAGTGTATTCTGTGAAGGCCCTGTGAGACGTCTCGAAGACGTGATAAGGCGCTGGATCAAATGCAAGGATTATTATTATTATAATTGACTACTTTGTGGTTGAAACGCGGCAGCTCGTTTGTGCACAGCAACGTCCCATAAACGACCGTGGATTGAGAGTCCAAATTATTATTTTTATTTATTTTTCGAAGGGATTTTTATCCTTGGAAAAGCGATCCGCCAATCGACTAACAATTGGGTTCCTCCTTTCTGTCAGGAATTGAACCAGGGTCCCCTTGCACGCGAGGCGAGTGCTCCAAACACTAAGCTGCAGGACTCCTCCAGGAATCTGAAAGATTTTTTACCCCAACAAACAAAACCCATTCAAATATTTATAATGAACATTTTTATGCAATAATATGCAATGTAGTAACTATAATAATTCAGTAATATATAATATAGCATTTATAATAATAATCCTTGCATTTGATATAGCGCCTTTACTTTACACTAAGCAGTTAAGGGCGCGATGCTATATTAAATGGAGGAAAATATTAATCACATTTCAGTGTCCGGTGACGTTTTCCTGTTTGGGACGACGCTTTGGTGTCCTGACAGGAGCTGAAACCTGATTCCCTTTTCCCTTCCTTAAGGGACTCGGGCAGTTTGAAGGTTTCCGCTCCTGAGCTGAACCTTCCATTAATAATGGTAATAAATCTTACATTTGATATCGCGCCTTCTCATGTCGTTGAACTTCACAGGACAAGACCGTAAAGTTGATTGTCGGCAGCCAATGGATCATTTCAAACAACGAACTTCAAGACTAAATTAACAATAAATTTGATATTGACAAATTTATCAACGCTGTCAAAACACGTAACCTTTATTTTCTCCCCTTTCCACCTGATAGCGAGGTTGAGGTCAGGGCACGTTCAGCGCCTTGGGACGTCCTCCCGACGTGAAAGGCGCTTTACAAATGTAGTTTTGCTGTCGTCGTTTGTTTCTCTGCCGGTGTCAGCGGCTCTTAAGAGAGCCTTTTGGGTTCGACTAACTTTGAAACTCCCAACCCTTCTCTCCCTCCCTCCCTTTCAGCCACCGAACCCGTTCAGGGTGCGTCCCTGGCACGTCCAACAACAACACATGACATTTACGCAGCACCTTTTGTGTCGGGAGGACGTCCCAAAGCGCTGGACAGTCAGGGATTTGCACTTGACGACAATTCTTATTATCTGGGGGAATTGTCGGCTTGGCTAGGACTTTCAAAATGTTTGATGCGAACGTGATTTCCTCTGATTTGGAAGGATTATTATTTTAAATATTTATCATCAACCCGTGAGGGCACCAACTCAGTAACCAGAGGACACAGGTTGAAGATAATTGGCAAAAGAACCAGAGGGGAGATGAGGAAACATTTATTTCACACAGAGAGTTGTTACGGGTTGGAATGAAAGGCTGGTGGAAACCGATTCAATGGTAACTCGCGACAGGGAATTAGATAGGTATTCGAAAAGGAAAACATTTTTGCAGGGATGATGGGGAAGTGGGACTCGTCGGGGGGAAAAAAAAGTCGGGGCAGGCACAATGCCTGAATGGCCTCCTTCTGTGCTGTGAGGTTCCCCGACTGTATGATTCTACCCTTTGCTCTGTGTAAATTACAGGTGTTAACATATCATTGCCATTTAAAGCTATTCTGCCCACTGCAGCCCATATAAGGTGTCGTTTTCCACCCAGGTCCGCTTAACCTGACAATGCTGTATCCGCCCCCCCCCCCCTTGTGTGAGGTGGCGGTTTTCTATTGGCTGATTTCAAGGCCAAATCCTGACTTCTGATTGGTGCAACATTTCAATCCTCCTATGCAAATTAGGGCAGGGTCTTCGGCCCTTGATGACCAGCAGGACGTTTGAATTTTCAAATCAGCCAACGGCTCCCCCCCGATGGCAGTTAATCTGTCTCTGGAGTTAGCCCCCAACCCCAAATTATAATAATAATAATAATAATACTTGCATTTGATGTGTCATAGAATCATAGAATGCTGCGGCACAGAAGGAGGCCATTCGGCCCATCGAGTCTGTGCGGCTCTTTGACAGAGCAACTGACTTTTATTAACCCCCGATCACCAGCTCTCTCCCCATAAACCCTGCAAACCCGTCCTCCCCCGATACCTGTCCAGTTCTCTCTTAAAAGCTGTTATCGAATCGGACTTCACTGCCCTTTCGGGCGGATCATTCCGAATTCTGAGGGAAAACATTTCTTCTAACCTCCCCTCTGCGTCTTTTGGAAGATATCTTCAGACTGTGACCACAAATCACAGACACACCTACCAGCGGAACCAGCTTTTCCCTATCTCGCCTGTCGAAACCTTTCATGATCTCGAAGACCTCTATCAGGTCACCGCGTAACCTTCTCGGCTCTAATGGGAAAAGTCCTAACTTCTCCCTCCTGTCCTCATAGCTAAGGTTCCCCATTCCTGGCATCATTCTCGTGAAATACTGCCTTATCACGTCTTCGAGACGTCTCAAAGGGCTTCGCAGGGTACACTGTAAAGTGAGCTGACTATATTTTGTGGGCGAAATGACACCTGTACAATTTAATTTACAGTCACTACACTTTACATGATATACCGTGAAGCGCTTTGAGATGTCTCGAAGTGGTAAGGCGCTATATCAAATGCAAGGATTATTGTTACCATTGTAGATTAGAATATGAGGGCATTTTTATTGTTTTCGATATCTTATCTGACGCATAATTTAATAATAATAATCCTCGCATTTGATATCGCGCCTAATCACATCATTGAGATGTCTGAAAGAGATTCAGAGTACACTGTAAAGTGAATTGATTATATATTTTGTGAGTGAAAAGTGGCAGCCAACGGTGCGCAGCAGTGTCCCACAAATAGTCGTGGATTGCGTGTCTAAATTATTATTATTTTGAAGGGATTATTATCTCTTGAAAAGCGATCCTCCAATCGACTAACAACCGATTTCCTACTTACTGCTGGGTAAACAGAGGCATGTAGAGTAAGGAAACATGCCTAAGGCTTTGCTCTGCCAGGGAATCGAATCCAGGTCCTATCACTTGTGGGGCAAGTGGTCTAACCACTATAATAAATAATAATAATCCTTGCATTTGACATAGCGCTTTTCACGTCGGGAGGACGTCCCAAAGCGCTTCACAGAACACACTGTAAAGTGAATTGACTGTATATTTGTGGGCGAACTAAGCTTACAGGATCATTCCCATTATCATTAAGCTATTTCTAAAAAAAATTCATAATTCTTCAAGAGCTTTCACCTGTTTGCTCTTCATGCTATTATTTTACAAAAACACAGACAGAGAAATTTATTTAAGAACCGTTTATTATAAAATCAAAGGTTAAAGCTTACTCTTTGGCAAACACTGAGTACTACAGTAGACTGGAGTATTGGAGCCTAATTTTGTGACATGTTATTCTTCAATGAGGAACCCCACAAATGTTCTCTTTAATAATAATGATAATCCTTACATTTCATGTAATGCCTTATCAGATCTTTGAGACGTCTTAAAACGCTTCACAAAATATACTGTAGTATCTCAGAACATCTCAATATCCTCTGAAGAACTTTGCGACGTCTCGAAGGTGTGATAAGGTGTGAACAAATGCCAGGATTATTATTATAGTAATAACAATTATTAATATAATGATTGAAATAAATCCATTAACTCCTTTAGGAGACCTCCTAATCCGCCTCCTCAACGATTGGCCCACTGGAGGTTCTGCTCTTGTCAGACGAACGATTTGGCATTTGTTAGGGATTGATTACTTTCTCCCACTTTACTAACGATGGGGTGACAGAAAGTGCGCAGCTCCCTCAACCTATTCTCATATTCTGCCTTCTCCGCCAACGGATTGGCGTCCAGCCAACTGAGGGCCTCTTCACTCTTGTGAATGGCGTTCTTCTTCTCTTCCTCCCTGATCTTGTCCGAAAACTTCTTGTTTTTCAGGGTGTCCCTGACGTGGTAGGCGTAGACCTCCAGGTCGATCTTGACCGCGATCCTCTGCTGTTGGAGGATGTCCTCGGTCTTGTACACCTCGGCATCCTGCACCATCCTCTCGATCTCCTTCTTGTCCAGCCTCCCCTTCTCGTTGGTAATGGTGATCTTGTTCTCCTTGCCCGTGCTCTTGTCAATCGCCGAGACTTCGAGGATGCCATTGGCGTCGATGTCGAAGGTGACCTCGATCTGTGGGACCCACGGGGGGCTGGGGGGATATCACTAAGGCCGAAGGTGCCCAGGAGGTTGTTGTCCTTGGTCATGGCTCTCTCGCCCTCGAACACTTGCACCAACACGCCAGGCTGGTTGTCGGAATTCGTGCTGAAGGTCCGGGTTTGTTTGGTGGGGATGGTGCTGTTCCTCTTGATAAGAATGGTCATCACACCTCCCACCGTCTCCAGCCCCAGCGACAGAGGAGTCACGTCCAGCAGGAGCAGGTCCTGCACCTGCTCAGAGTCGTCACCCATCAAGATGGCGGCTTGCACGGCCGCCCCATAGGCCACCGCCTCGTCCGGGTTAATGCTCTTATTCAGCTCCCGGCCGTCGAAGAAATCCTTTAGAAGCTTCTGGATCTTCGGGATGCGAGTGGAGCCACCGACGAGGACCACATCGTGGATCTGTGACTTGTTCAACTTGGAGTCGGTCAACGCCTTCTTTACCGGCTCCAGGATCCCTTTGAACAAGTCCGCGTTGATATCCTCAAACCGTGCCCTGGTGATGGTAGTGTAGAGGTCAATGCCCTCAAACAGTGAGTCGATCTCAACGCTGGCTTGGGTGCTTGAAGACAGCGTCCTCTTTGCCCTCTCGCAGGCTGTCCTCAGCCTCCTGACCGCCCTCTTGCTCTGGTTGACGTCCTTCTTGTGTTTCTGCTTGAACTCACGGATGAAGTGGTTGACCATTTGGTTATCAAAGTCCTCGCCCCCCAGGTGCGTGTCACCGGCCGTGGATTTGACCTCGAAGATCCCGTTTTCGATGACGAGGACGGACACGTCGAAGGTGCCCCCGCCCAGGTCGAAGATCAGGATGTTGCTCTCTCCCGGGCCCTTCTTGTTCAAGCCATAGGCGATGGCGGCCGCCGTGGGCTCGTTGATGATGCGGAGGACGTTGAGCCCGGCGATCAACCCGGCGTCTTTGGTGGCCTGACGCTGGGAGTCGTTGAAGTAAGCGGGCACCGTGATGACAGCGTTGGTGACCTTGATGCCCAGATAAGCCTCCGCCGTCTCCTTCATCTTGATCAGAACCATGGACGAGATCTCCTCGGGGTAGAAAGTCTTGGGCTCTCCCTTGTACTCAACCTGCACCTTGGGTTTCCCCTCAGCACTGACCACCTGGAAGGGCCAAAGCTTGACGTCCGCCTGCACCGTAGGGTCGTCGAACTTCCTCCCGATCAGCCTCTTGGCGTCGAAGATGGTGTTGGGCGAGTTCATGGCCTCTTGGTTCTTAGCTGCCTCACCGATTAGCCTCTCGGTGTCGTTGAAGGCCACATAGCTGGGTGTGGTGCGGTTTCCCTGGTCGTTGGCGATGATCTCCACCTTGCCATGCTCAAACACACCCACACAGGAGTAGGTGGTGCCTAGGTCGATGCCCACAGCTGTTTCCTTGACAGATATCATTCTTGGGGTCTCCTCAATAGCTCCTCAGTTGGGTGTCAATGTCAATAATTCCTTCGAAATAAAAAATAATAATAATTTGGTCACTTCAATCCACGACTTCAATCTCCCAAATAAAATCAGTCTCTGATTCCGTGGTTGTTTGTAGCGCAATTGGCTGCCCGCAAAGCACACAGTCACTCCACTTTACTGTGTATGCTGCGAAGTGCTTTGAGACATCGCGAAGACGTGATAAGACACTATATCAAATGCAAGGATTATTATTATTATTATAATTGTAATGGCATCTCGTGTAAACCTCTCCTCAACGGCTACTCACAAGTCTTGTTAGTTGACGTCAATGGCGGTCTTGCCTCACCCCACTCCTCGACGGCCGATCACAAGCCCTGTTGTTGGAGGATCTCAACACCTGATTAGAGGGTCTCAACACCTGATTATAGGGTCTAAATTCCTTGTTGGAGGATCTCAACACCTGGTTAGAGAGTCTCAACACCTGGTTGGAGGGTCTCAACACCTGGTTGGAGGGTCTCAACACCTGGTTGGAGGGTCTCAATCCCTTGTTGGAGGGTCTCAATGCCAGAGTCAGTGGCGCCTCGTCTGACCTTGTGGCTACACTCACTTCCTGTAACTTCGTTGCCACTTTCCCGCCACCCCCGCCTGAACTGGTTGATTGACGGCGATCTGGACCAATCGGAAGACGGTTTTGTCGATTAGGCCCCGCCCTCTCACCAATCAGAACTCGCCTTCAGGGCAAAAGTGTTACAGGAGACAATCGACCACGTGGGTCTGTGTCTGTCTGTGCGTTGGTGATCGTGTCACTGCTCCCAGTCACTGCAGTGGAGATGTCAGCAGACGTTCACATCTTTCTCTCTCTCTCTCTCTGTGTATATATAGTATAGATACACATATTATTTTATTTTACACAATATATGTCAACATCTATATTTATGGATATATGTTACATGAGATTGGAGTCCTGTAGCTCAGCGATTACAGCACTGGCCGAGCCAGCGAGAGACCCGAATTCGATTCCCGGTGGGGCAAAATGTTGGGCAAGTTTCCGTCCTCCACGCGTCTCTGTTTACCTAGCAGTAAGTTGGAACCCGGTTGTTAGTTGATTGGCGGATCACTTTTCTGGGGATAATAATCCTTAAAAAAAAACAGTTTTTTCGCTCAATCCATGACTGTTTGTGGGACGTTACTGTGCGCAATTAACTGCCACAATTCGCCCACAAATAGACAGTTAATTCACTTTATAGTGAAGCACTTTGAATCGTCCAGAAGACGCGAAAAGCGCTATATCAAAGGCCAGGATTATTATTGCCATTATATATTATTTTATAATGCATATGCAAAGATGTTAACCAATATATATTGTGTAAACATATGCTATATATACCTATATACAGTTGATATATAATATTCCTTAAGATGCTTATATATGTATATTGAAAATACGTATGTATTGCAAAAAGATTATTAAATGTATAAATATATATGCAAAGGTGCAATCCAACAGCACAATATATATAGTATTATATAAGATTACCAATATATATCATTAATGTACCATACATTACAAAACGATTATTGTTGGATTATATATAAATGCAAAGGTGCAATCAAACTGCACAATGTATATGATATATAAGTTACAAAAGGATTATTCTTATATATTATATCGGTATAGGTAAAGCTCAGCCAATCAAATCCCCACAAAGCCCAACGAATCATAACTCTGGAAAGTCCAGCCAATCACAACCATGCACAGCTTGACCAATCACAACGTGTACAGCCCAGCCAATTGCAACCCTGCAGAGGCTAGCCAATCACAGCCCTTAGCAGTCTGACCAATCACAGACCTGTAAAGCCCAGCCAATCAGAGCCCAGCCCATCGCTACCCTGCACAGCTCGGCCAATCACAGTTCAGCTCATAAAAGCCCTCCAAAGCCCAGCCAATCATATAATGTATGTAAAATAATTATAATTAAACGTGAAAGAATAATTTTACAAATATCCACGTAAAATAATAATTTTACATGGACATTTGGCTTATTTTCAGCGGTTTAGGATACCTTCACGTAATAATAGTGTTAGCAACTTTTTATAAAGGTTATATAATGAAGTAATAAATAATAATCCCTTAAAACATATGTACGTAATAATAATTTGGTCACTCAATCCGCGACTGTTTGTGGGGACGTCGCTGGGTGACATTGTCTGCCGTGTTTCGCCCACAAAATACACAGTCGCTATAATTTAAGGTATATTCCATGAAGAGCCTTGAGACGTCCCAACGACGTGATAAGGCGCTGTATCAAATGCGAGGATTATTACTGTGGCATCTCAGGCAACGAATTCCCGCTACACCCTTAGGACGTTTGGGTGTGAATTTGAGCTGCGGCGAGAACCCACAACAGTGCGACTCCTTGGGAAAGAGCGTCAGGAGGTGAGCCAGGCCTTTCCGTGCAGGCGCGTCAGCCCCCACCCTTGGTTTGCGAAACTCCGCCAGAGTTATCCACACCTTCTCTACGAACCAACCGGTAGCTGATGCAGCATGAAGAGAAATCGCGATCGATATTATTCCTCGCCCCAACGAAAGAAAACAAAGCCAAACTCTCCGAATCGAACGGTGAGAAGAACAACCGAGAGAAGGTCGGCACCGCTTAATAATAATAATAATAATAATAACCCTTGCATTTGATATCGTCTTCTCGACGTCTCAAAGCGCTTCACAGAATATACCGTAAAGTGAATCGAGCGGATGCGCACAGCGGCGTCCGTCCCACAAACAGTCGCGGATTGAAAGTGACCCAATTTATTGTTGTCTTGTTTTTCGGAGGGATTATTATTAGGGCTGTGCGTGTGTGGAGTAAGGAAACTTGCCCAAGGTTTCGCACCCCACCAGCCCCCGGCCTGGAATTGAACCCGGGGTCTCTCGCTCGCAAAGGCGAGTGCTCTCACCCGCTGAGCTGCAGGACTCCAGGACGGCCTTCTCGTTCCATTTCAAAAAATAAAAAAAAACCATCACGTGCATTTTCCTTTGCTCGGTGTCATAAAATCGCCGGGGGGTTCGTCGGATCCACAGCGAGTTTACAGTGGCAATATTGTTTTCCTCCAAACGTCCAAAAAAAAATTAAAATCGATGGGCGTTTTTCTTCGGGGGATGGGGCGGATTCGGCTCTCGTGTTCAAAACGTAGCGGAATATCCCGTTTCGGATGCGTTTATCCTACAATTAGCGTTCCTGAGCTTTTTTTTCGGTCGTGGTTTCACGGGGGTGTGGGGGCGGAGGGGAGATTAACCGTCTCGACTCTTGGCGGGACCTCTCTCTCTCTCTCTCTCTCTTCTTTCCCAGGAGAAGCTGCCTTCCTCCCCCGCCCCCCCCCGGGGCCTCCTTGCGGCGCAACGGAGCAGAGCTACCCGACCGCACCACCGCTCACCTCGGCCGCCGCGGCTCCGAATGAGGACCGACAAGCGCGACGCCGGGCTATTTAAAGCCTCCAGGAGGACGCGGTGGGTGGGGAGAGCGGCCCCTCGCGCGCTCCAACGGCCGCCGCGAGATCCCGCGCCCTCGCGCCTGCGCGGTGCGAAGCGCCTGTCCCGCCCCTCGCGCGGCGGCGGCGTCGGCGTCGTCGTCGTCGTCGTTCGGCGCTTCTTCTTCTCGCTCCTCGACGGCGCAAAGGGGAAGAGAAAGGACAAAGAGGGGGGGGGGGGGGGCGGGGCGGCGGGGGATGGCGGATCGCCCGTGGGCGCTGGTTTGGGAAACGTGCGGAGTTGGTCAAGGGGTGGAGGGCGGTGAAAGGAAAGCCGTGAGGAAACCCCACGACTCCAGGCGTCCGATGGGGAAGGGGAACGAACGGGAGCGGGGCGTTCACCCCACCGCGTCCGGCTTTAGCCGCAGTTGCCCCAACGGCGTCCGCTTGTTCTCCCCTCCACCCCCTTCCCCATCTGTGCGTGCGGAGGGGAGGTTGGCCCGACCACGTCCGCCTCGCCGCTTTAACTGGCGCTTCGCCGGCGCCGCGGGTTCGCATTGAGCGCTCGGACGCGCAGGAGGAAGGTCCCGATGGCTGAGGCGGAGGTCGTTGCTGCCATCGCTCCCGCTCCGCAAACCGCCGCCGTCGTTGCCGCCGCCGCCGCCACCACCTCATCGACGACGGCGGCGGCGGCGGCTGTTGCGGCGGGAGGTGGAGGTGGTGGTGGTGGTGGTGGAGGTGGAGCCGCACAGGCGGCCCCGCCGCCGGTCACCAAGAAGAAGAGCGCGTACCGTCAGCAGAAGATGGGCGCCGAGCACGTGATGGAAGCGGTGACGGCCGCGAAGGAGCGGCAAGGGGCGGGTTTGGGAGCCGCCGCCAAGAAGAGCGCAGTAACGGCTTCGGTGTCCGAGGGGGAGAAGAGCCGAGGAGAGGGAGGAGGCGGCGGCGGCGGAGGAGGAGGAAGGACCGTGACGAAGGCCATACCGGGCCGCGGATTGATGACACAACCGACGGCTGCGGGAGGAGGAGGAGGAGGCAGCGCCGTCGCGGTGACCGTCGCGGCATCAGCCTCGCAAACGGCTCCCAAACCCCAGGCGCCGGAGGGGATCGAGGTCAAGGAAACCGCCGGTACCGCCGCCGTCGTCTCCGCCGCCGCCACCGCCGCTTTGGTGACGGGAGGCGCCACCGCCACGATGGCCGGCAAGAAGCGGGCGGCGGCGGTGAAGAAACCCGCCGTCAAGAAGAAGAAGCCGAAACAGGCGCCGGGGAAGGCGGCGGCGGCGGCGCACAGGAACGCCAAGAAGCTGAAGGCGGCCAAGAAAGCGGCGGGAGTCGCGGTCTCGGCCGATGCCGCCGCCGCCGCTGCAGCTGCTTCGGCCGCGGCGGCGACTGCTAACCGGAGCCCCAAGAAGGGCAGAGCGACGGCGGTCCGGGCCAAGAAGGCGGGAGCCAGGCGGCAGGTGGCGAGCAAGTCGGTGGGGCGTAAGGGGAGGGCGCCCCGGAGGCGCTGATGACAAAGAGGAGAACGGTCACAATTAATTAATATAAAGTGAAATTAAAATGAATTATTTTCACTTCTTTCCCCTCTTCCCCCCAAAAAAAGGCTCTTTTCAGAGCCACCGACTGATCTCTCGAAAAAAAGCTGACGGTTCCCCGATGCGTCGTCCCCTCGGGGGCGGAGGGGGGGAAAAAAAAAAAGAGAGGGGGTTTTGTGGCTAAATCGGGAGTTTCCTGAAAGGATGAAGAATAAATGAGAAATAATAATAATGATAACATTCCCGGTGTGTGACCCGGAGCCTCATCGCGTCGTCGAGACGTCTCACAGCGCTTCGCGGGATACACTGTGGAGTGTAGTGACTGCGTGTTGTGGGCGATGTATGATATACGGTATATATATATGTATATATACGTGTGTGTGTGTGATATACATTTCCTCTCCTCGGGAGACCTTTGTCATCGGAAACGTGTGGAACATAAAGACGTAACATATATATATTTATAGATCGTTTTTACCCCCAAACAAACAGACTGAGAGGTCATCAAAACTCAGCATTTTCTTGTCAACCCAACAAAACCAAACCAAAAAAACTCATGAGCATAACCCGCCCCAATATAAGTCCCGGACCGGTCCGGACCGGACCGGGCAGTCAGTCGGGTCAAGTTCTCGGCGTTCGTCGCCTCGTCCGCCCCGAAGCCCCACATGATGCCCGAGGCTCCGTCCAAGGTCATGGCCCCCAAGAAGGGCTCGAAGAAGGCGGCCTCCAAGACGCGCCGGAAGGAGGAGCGCAAGCGCAGGAAGGCCCGGAAGCAGACGGACGGCATCTACGTGTACAAGGTGCTGAAGCAGGTCCACCCGGACACCGGCATCTCGTCCCGGGCCATGAACGTCATCAACTCCTTCATCACCGACGTCTTCGACCGCATCGCCTGCGAGTGCTCCCGCCTGATCCAGTACAACAAGCGGCAGACCATCTCCTCTTTTAAGAGCCGTTCACGTCGTCCGGTAGAGAGGGCTGTCGAACGGGAATGACCGCAACGATCCCGGCGTTCGACCCGGCGCCCGCTCGCCTCTTGGAGACGTCCCGAAGCTCCTCGGGGGACACTGCGCCGTAAAGCGGAGTGACTGCGCGTGCGTGCCCGGTGGGCGGAACGCAGGCAGCCGGCCGCGCGCCCGGCGACGTCCCCGCAAACAGCCGTGGGTTGTAGCGACCGGATTATTATTTTTTTGAAGGGTCAAATGCCAGGATTATTATTATTATGAAGCTGTATCTGTGTAACCACAGCACATGGTCAAGGCTGTGTGTGTTGTGTGTGTGTGTGTGTAAACCACAGCACATGGTCAATGATGTGTGTGTGTGTAACCACAGCACATGGTCAAGGATGTATGTGTGTGTGTAACCACAGCACATGGTCAAGGCTGTGTGTGTGTGTGTGTGTAAACCACAGCACATGGTCAAGGATGTGTGTGTGTGTGTGTGTAACCACAGCACATGGTCAAGGCTGTGTGTATGTTGTGTGTGTGTAACCACAGCACATGGTCAAGGCTGTGTGTGTGTGTGTTGTGTGTGTGTAACCACAGCACATGGTCAAGGCTGTGTTGTGTGTGTGTGTGTAACCACAGCACATGGTCAAGGCTGTGTGTGTGTGTGTTGTGTGTGTGTAACCACAGCACATGGTCAAGACTATGTGTGTGTGTAACCACAGCACATGGTCAAGGCTGTGTGTGTGTGTGTGTTGTGTGTGTGTAACCACAGCACATGGTCAAGACTATGTGTGTGTGTAACCACAGCACATGGTCAAGGATGTGTGTGTGGTGTGTGTGTCGCCATCACGCATGCGCAGCGCTGACTCCGCCCCCCCCGCCCACCACCTCCATCCACGGCCACCTCAGCGCCTGTCAGAAACCGCGGAAGAAACTCGACACAGAAAAGGCGAGAGCGGGTTTTTAGGGGAATAGAGAATTGTGGTTTGTGAGTTTTTTTTTTGACCGGAGGGCGGCGGTGGGTGGGTGGGAGGGGGGAGGAGGGTCGGTCCGGCGGTTTGAGCGCCTCAGAGGTCCTTCAGGCGGCGGGCGGGGCAGCTCCCCGGCAGATGGTTGGGGTCCTTCGGGCGGTCCGTACCAGCCACGTGACGGAGACACAGAGAGTGACACAGACACAGTGAGTGACACAGTGAGTGATACAGATACAGACACAGAGTGACACAGACACAGTGAGTGATACAGATACAGACACAGAGAGTGACACAGACACAGTGAGTGATACAGATACAGACACAGAGAGTGACACAGTGAGTGATACAGACAGAGTGACACAGACACAGTGAGTGATACAGACACAGAGTGACACAGACACAGTGAGTGATACAGATACAGACACAGAGAGTGACACAGACACAGAGAGTGACAGACACAGAGTGACACAGACACAGAGAGTGACACAGACACAGAGTGACACAGACACAGTGAGTGACACAGACACAGAGAGTGACACAGAGGCAGAGAGACCGGAGATACTGAGAGAGAGAGAGAGAGAGAGAGAGAGAGTCGGAGAGAGCGAGTGAGCGCGCGATTGAGTGAGTGAACGAGTGCGCGAGTGGACGAGTGAGCGAGCGAGCGAGTGAGTGCGCGTGGCTCAGCGTTCACTTGGCAAGCGCGAGACCCGGGTTCGATTCCCCCCGGCAAGAGGGCGAAACCTTGGGCAAGTTTCCTTACTCTGCGCACACGCACGCACACCCGCGCACACGCACTCCCTGATAGTAATCCCTCAAGACAAAAAAAACCCAACAACAATTAAAATTGGTCCTTTTCAATCCACGACTGTTTGCGGGGACGCGGTTCCGCCCACAGGTATACAGTCGATTCACTCCACGGTCCACCCTGTAACGTCCGGAAGACGTGATCACGATATTATTCTTGTTCAATTTCACTTTCACTATCCGTCTGCTGTTTGCTCTCTCTCCCGCACGCACACGACACACACGCACACACCCACACCCTCTGCGATAGTAATGCGTACAACCTAAGCACCGATTACAGCGCATCTGGGTGTTTACTTTTGAGCAAT